TGGCTAATGAGAAGAATGTAAACTCCTTGAAGGCAGAGATTATTTCTAAAATTCCCTTTTTTCCCTCTCAGTGATTAACATAGTACCAAAATTAAAATCCCTATCAAATTAAAACTGAATTACCACACAAAATCTTACTGGCAGTAAGTATAGGTAACAATTGCACAAAACACAGATTGTGAGAAATAAAAGTGTAAACACTCCAAAAATTGGAGAAAAGTCAGCATGTCTAGCCTGTTGAGCAAAGAAATCAAAAGGGAAAGCAGTAAAAGAGATAGGTTCCAGAAACCAATTTAGATTTATTCTGTGTGGTGACAGAACATCATGGGAAGTTTTGAGAAGATATGAATGAGCTTGATTCTAAAATATTACTTTGTCTGCCATGTGGAGATATAGACTGTGTCAAGAGTGGAAACATCAAGGCCAGGCATGAAGCTAATGTAGTAGTTGAGGTAGAAAATATGTTGGGTTAAGTATGCAGCAAGAAGCCTTGAATTAGGTTATGTAACAATACAAAAGTGAAATGACATTGGACCAAGATATATTTTAAAGGTGGAGTTAACAGGATTTGATGTGGGTTGTGAGGGAAACAAGGATGAAGTGTGGCACATTTTCTAAAATGGAAAAGATTGAGTGAGGAACTAAATCAAGAGGCCAAAGATTGAAAAAATTAAGAATAAAGAATTCTGTTTCAGACCTGTTAACTACGAGATATCTTTCAAATATCCAAATGGAGATAATAAACAACTGGATATATAATTCTGAAGCTCTGGGGAGAGATTAGGATTAGAAATTTGAGAGTCATCAATTGGTTGAAACCACCTAGGAAGTAAGTAAAGATAGAGAAATTAAAAGGTAAGGTTTTGAGCACATCTTTTTTACTAACAAAGGAGCTCTAGTGGCACAGTGCCTAAGGCATTGACTGTTAACCGGAAGGCTAGCAGTTCAAACCCACCAGTCACTCTGTGGGAGGAAGATGGGACAATCTACTATAAAGATTTACCACCTCAGAAACGCAATAGGGGTCACTATGAGTTGGAATCAACTTGATGTAGTGTTTTTTTTTCTATTAACAACAACAACAACAAAAAGTTTAGTTAGCTAGTAAGAAAAATTGTACAGAATCCTTTGTATTACTAAGCATATAAAAATTCTTATTCTAGAAATACTCATCAAGAAAATATTTAACACAGATAAAAAGTATTATCAATCTTCAGGCTATATAAATTATAAAATAATTTTTCACAAATGTTAGGTTATTAGGATTTTGGGAAGAAGCTCAGGTGGTATACTAGTTAAAGGCATTTGGTTGTTAACTAAAAGGTCAGTGGTTCAAACTCACCAGCTGCTCCATGAAGAAAGATGAGGTAGTCTGCTTCCATAAAGATTCACAGCCTTGGAAACACAATGGGGGTCTCTATGAGTCAGAATTGACTCGATGGCAGTGAGTTTGGTTTTTTTGGAGGATTTTGGGGAAATTAAATTTTAATTTAAAAGGCTTATATTGTTTATAGTATGATAGTTTTTCCATTCATGGCTCACAATGTACTAAAAATATTGTCAAATATTCAACATTTACAATGGATTCTGAAGTCTATGGAGATATGTGATTTGTGATTTTCCTTGGCCTTTTAATTGGTGAAGGAGCCTTGTCTACCACCAGTACTGCATTTCACCATGGATTTGTTGCTTTCTATTCATCATGACTTTGGCAATAACTTACATGAAGAAAGACATGAATAAAAAATAAACATCAAGTGAGTGAAAAAAAAACAGTAATGAAAGTTGAAAACCCACTTAAAGTGAGTGAAAAAACATTAATGAAAGTTGAAAATCTACCTAACTTGCAATGTGAATAAGGAGACTCTGAAGAAACACATGATTCAAAAGAACAACATACTTTCTTTCAAATATTAGCATATTTGAAACTGGAAATCACAAAGATCTTAGGATAAATGCCTTGTAAAAATCAAGAGAAAAAATAGCAATAATAAAAAAGAAGCAATAGCCCTGAAACTTCAAATGACATTTTTTAGTAATTTAATTTCAACTCCAGTATAACTGTTGCTATTAGTACTGTCATTTTACGACAATTAACACAAATAATAACTTATTGGAAGGTTCAGTAAGATATTCCTCATATTTTGACAATCAAATTATATTTCCTGAATGATTCTTCAATGAAATAAAATGAATTTGGTTTTAGACTGATATATACAGAAATCCAAATATTCTAGTCATAATCTACTCATAATTTCAATTTATCTGTATCTTTGCTCATTCTGTGCAAAATGACCAAAGACATACTCTCAAGGTATGTCATTTACAGGTATTAAATAAACTAAAGACATATCACTGACTTTGAGTAGGTAACTATCTCAAAGAGGAAAAGAGACGTCTATAATTTTTTTTTAATGAGGAAAATTACACATTTATTTTCCTCTCTATGCTTACTTGAAAGAACAAAATGGCTTGAGTGAAAAAGAGAGAGAAATAAAAATACAAAAAAAGAGCAAACAAGAAATATTTGATTGTATACTATTATTCACCCATGCATGCATTTATCACCTAAATAGCATTCACTGAGTATCTACTATGTCCCAGGAGCTATGCTAGGAACTAAGAAAAAAAAAAAAAAAAGGAGAATGGAGAGTCAAAACCATTTAAAAAAAAAAAAAGACAACATAATTAGTAAAATGGAAATCATGGCCTTTTAATTTTATTTTTGTGGTTAGTACATCTATATTACAATGAGATATAACTTCTTGCCAACTTCATTCTTTTCAAGTCCTAGTGGGATATATTATAATTTAATTTAGTTTCCTGTAAGTAACATTCAAGTACTCCTTCAATTCACATGGCTTTTCAAGTTGTTGGTTACTGGTATTACAAATCATTTTTAAAACACCTGCAAAAAACATCATTACAAAGAAAAGGCCCACTGTTTTTTTTCCTTTAAGTGTAGTCACTTTTAATTAACTCTAAAAGGTAATAATATATTATAAAAACAAAAATAGAACGAACATGTACCAAATTATGGAACCACTACTCAAAATGCAGAAAATAAGTTGTTTTCATGTACACATACACGAAATAAAATAATACCATAACAGAAGGGTGCTGTTATCTGTGTTTAAAGAAGGAGTTGTTGGCAAACACCACAGCTCACTTCTGCTGAAATGTACACAACTGATATATGCAGCACAGAAAGCTGGCACCAAGGGCTTACAACCTTAATTTGCCTGCAAGAAGGAATGGAGATTTACCTTCAGAGCACGTTCTTGATTGTTTTCAGCAGTCAGATGTCTCATGTTGTTTGCTGAAGTCTGGTTCTGCTCTTTCAGATGATGAAGCTCCTGCTCCAGCCGTTTGCACTGCCACAGGGGAAGAATCCCATTAAGTAAAGGAGTTATAGCATTTTTTTCACCAAGCCACAAGAATTAATGTAAATAATACCATTGTATTCTCTGAAAGACAAAGTATTTTTTTGCAACAAGAATATTAAAAGTAATGGTGAATAATAATAGTAATATTATTTATATATTACTCTGAGTAATATAGTACTCTGGGAACTCAATTGTAATTTTCAGTTAGTCTTTTATGAAACTAAATATTACTAGATAAGTAACAAAATACTTATTTTTATAACTCAGTGTCAACACAGATTTCAAATGATTTTCTTCATTAAATAGTTTTCTTGTATATCTGTTGTCTGACTAAAACCATGTTCATAATTGTACTTTATAAAATCACTGAGTTTTAAATATAGAGTAACATGATTTTCTGTGATAAAATTTTATTTTTAATAAATAAAAATTATCATAAAACATTTAAAAAATCTTTCAGATTTTTAAAAATATCCAGAGAAACTATTTTGTACTGGAAAAAAAGTAACAGCCATAGAGTGCTACAAGACATGGAAACAAATGAGGAACTGAATGTTTTAAATTTATCCTGTTTTGATGAAATCTTACTTTTACATACAAAAAAGAGTAACAAACATTGAAAATGGTGCTTTAACTTCCCTGGAATACAAAAGAATAATAGAAAAAATAAATGATAAATGAAAGTATAGATGTGCTATTACATGCATCTATTAAATAAAATTATTGAAATATGCATTTGAATACAAGATCTCAGTATGAATATACAAACTTCAGTATAAATATATAAAACATTTTACATAATTGTGAAGGCTATAAACTGATATATCATAACTCAGGATAATATGGAGATTCATGGAGAAGTGGCTAAAGATATAAAGGACTAAACCCATCTTTCAGTAAAATGTTAAAAAATCACTTCTTAATTTCTCAGTTTTAAAATTGGGATATTTAAAAACTAAACAGTAAGTAAATATATTGACTTAAGCTAGACAGTGTTCCTTCTAGATTATTTTATGAATGTCTACTTTTCATATTCAATAAAAAATGATTATTTGTTATGATACAATCAAGATGCAGCCATAATTCAAATCAGTACTTCTTACTACTATACTATTGATCTTTTCTGTTTCTGATCTCCATATCATAGAGTGTTTATCACTATTTTTCAACCTTGTGTAATATACAAATCATTTCAAAAGAAAAAGCCTTACCAGACTTGTTAGATTATATGTTTTTGTTGTTTATATACAATTATAAACTTGGGTACACACTCTTCATGCATGTGTAATTCAGTTATAAAGCCAAAGCATGTTTATAAAATAAACATAATAACTACAAAAACCAAGACATTTCAAATTAATTTAATATAGTAGGTAAACTTTTGTTGAAACTAAATTCTGCAAATATGATACAGTGACAAGTCCTTTAACACTGTAGTGTCATTCAACTGTGTGCTGTGTGACAACTTAATTCACCCATCACATTTTTCTTTTTGGACAATGTTAAAAGTTTGCATTTTATCTGGAAGGGACAAATGATTTGCATATTCGCTCTGTCACTGTTTTTTTCAGCCTGTAACAATTAAAATATTTGGTCACATGAAATCAAGATACAAATATGGTTAGTGAAGATACAAATCACAAGGCATGTAAATGAATAAGATACAGCAGTAAACACCACAACCTAGTGCAGATGTGACACAATCAATCTAGTAGAGATATTTTCCACTAGACTAATCCTCTACATGTTCACTGTTACTAATATAAATATTAAAATGAAATGACTAGAGGATTCAAAAGTGAGGTAATAATTTTCGTTATAGCGTGGAAGAATGTTTCATGGGAAGATGATATCTGAGTTGGGCTTAATTTAGGTGTATAATTTTAGAAGCTGAAACTAAAGAAAGAAGGAAGAATAAATATAGAAGAAAATGAATGAAGGTGCAAACATGAGGGGTATATCTGAAGAAAGTAAGAAGGTATGCTCAAGAATTGTCTGATAACCTGCTTTTTTGTATCCCTAAGTAAAGTGATACAAGCATAGAGACTTCTCTATCTACATGATGCAGAAAAAAAAAAATTCACTCAGTCTTAATCAAGAAATAAATGTTGAATTTATTTCCATTTCTTCCTGTGGTTTAAATTTAAAATTGACTTGAGACTCAAACTGGGTAAAGTGTCATCTTTAAACTGAATTAAAAAAACACATAGATGTTTCTGTCAAAACACACATTTATAATTTATATTTAAGGTTTCTTTTAGATTTACTCAATCTTATATTGTTTGTTTAGGAGCTCTGGTAGCGTAGTGCCTAAGACACTTGACTGCTAACCAGAAGCTGGTGGTTCAAACCCACCAGCCACCCCTCAGAAGGAAGGTTGAGCAATCTACTTCCATAGTGATACTGCCTTGGAAACCCAAGGAGGGGTGGCTATGAGTCAGGTCTGACTTGATGGCACATAACAGCAACAACAACATATTGTTTGTTAATGTTATACTTGGAAATGATAATACACTTCCTATAATGGCATATTTATATATATAGTTTCTTCTAGTTTCTTTTCTTTTTTACTTTACTAAACTCTTTAATTCTGAAATTTATTTTGAATCCACAGGATTTAATCATTATGATTATTTAAAGTATTATAATGTATTTATTATTGCCACTTTATAATTACATACAGTATTTGATAGGTAAAGATCTCACCTTTTAATCTATATTTCATATTTCCTTAATATTCTCACCAATTTATTCTTTATACATGTTTATTTAAAAATTTTAAATACTATTTTAAGCATACAAAAAGAGATGGGGAAAATAAAATAGAAACTTACACCCTTCATTAATATTTGCCCAAGGTAAACAAATTTGTCATATTATGATTTTTAAAAAAATAAAATATTAGATCTATATAACAAGTTTCTTCCTCTCCCGACCGTATTACCATCTTTTCTTCCCTGAGAAACCACTATTCTTAAGTGCACTCAATATTTATTAAGCACTTACTATGTGCCAAGCACAACTGTAAGAGGTGGGAATATAGCATTTAACTAAGTTGTTGTTGTTGTTGTTGTTATGTGCCGTCGAGTCAGCCCCGACTCATAGCGACCCCTCCTTGGGTTTCCGAGGCAGTTATCACTACGGAAGTAGGATT